GGATGCGCCCCACGGATGCCCGGGGTGTGTGGACACCCCCCGCTCATGTACACACACGTGTGCGGGACACACACAGATACCACATAATCCACCCCGAGGTGGATTACCCGCGGCGTGGCACACCCACCCGGGTACGGTGCGGGGATGCAACACGCGTGTGCGGCACGTACAGGGGTCGCGGACACACCCGCGTCCACAGGCGGACACGGACATCGGGTTCACACTCGTCGTTTGCAGGCGCACCCCCAGAGGCTGTACCCCGGCCGCCCCCCACCTCCAGGAGCAGCGGGGACCCCTCAGCCAGAGCCATGCTCCCTCCGTGCACCTTCTCTCCCCAAATCCACCGATTTTCTCTCTCCTTTTCCCCACTCCACCCACCCCATGAATTAAAGGCGGCAGCGGAGCGGGGCTGCAAGAGGCGGTGGCTGAGGGCCCTCCGCCCGCTCCCTTCCCTGCACCAGGTGAAAGAATGCAGAAATAGGTGAAAAAACAGAAATAGCCCCAAAAGAACACTGCCCGAGGTTTGGCTTTATTTATTCCTGTGTGTCTTTGTGCTCTGCAGTCCCAGGCCGGGCTGGGCGAGCCGGGTACCCGGAGGGGCAGCCCCCGTGGCAGCTTGGCGGGTCGGGCGGTGAGAGAGGGTGATGGGGTGCCACTGTCCGCGGCGGGGGGCGCGGGGAGCCGCAGGTGCTGCTGGCGGGAGAAACCCGCAATGGCTGTTTGGGTGTTGCATTAAAGCACGCTGCAGTGCGCACACTGCGGCCCCTCCCCCCGCAATCTGCCTGTATGCTAATGACATGCAAAGCGACTCATTTGCATGTTTATCTCTGTCAATGGGCAAGCGTGGCGGGCGCGGTAATACGTTTCCCACCGTGGCGTGGAGGCCTCCCCCCTCCCCGAGACCCTGACGGCCCCGCCGGGCAGGGCCGGGCCGGGCAGGGCGCTACTCCAGCCCCGCCGCCCAACCCTGGCATCACGGCAGGTACTGCCACAAAATGGCTGCCGGGGGGGCCCTGCAGCCGCCCAAGCGCCTAATTCTGCCCTCCAGCAGCCCCTGGCCCATCTGCGCCCCCTCCCCACAAACCCATCGCCGGATTTTGTGCTTAAGCAGCCAATCGGGGGCGCGGCACCCTTCCCCCCTCCATCCCTCCTTCCCCCCTCCATCCCTCCTTTTCCACCTTCCATTCCTCCTTCTCCCTCTCCAGCCTTCCTTCTCTCGCCTCCATCCCTCTTTATCGCACCTCTATCCTTCCTTTTCCACCCTTCATCCCTCCTCTTCCAACCTCCATTTCTTTTCTACCCTTCATCCCTCCTTCTCTCCCTCCTTCCCTCCATCCGTCCTTCTCCCCTTCCATCTCTCCATTCCCTCCTCTTACTCCCTCTCCCGCTACATCCCTTTTTCGCCTCCATCCCTTCTTTTCCCCTCTCCCTCCTGCCTTCCCCACACCCAGGGCCAAATCCTGGCTGTTTCCACTCGCGGGGGTATTTCTTATTTCCCACCGACCGGAGGAAAAGTCTTTTCCCTCGTTCCGAGGGGCTCCGGCACCTGCCCGGGTGCTGAGCCCCCGGCTACTTGTGACCGCTGTGCGAGGTCCCCGTGGCCGCGGAGCCGCGGGTGTGCGCCCCGGAGGGGCTCGCCCTTGGTTCCTCTGCTGAGAGGGGTGAGGTGTGTCCACGGGCACTAGCAGGGAGAAGCAGCCGTGTGTACACATGCTTGCGGGCCCACAGAAAGGACGGACGCAGGCACCGGTGCCGGTGTGGATTTTTTAAATAGCCACTAGAAAAAAAAGCGCGGCCTCTCCCACGGCCCCGAGGTGTGCCCACGCCGCTACCGTTAAACACGCCTGTGGGAGCGCAGGACTCTGTTTTGGGGAGAGGGAGGAGACCTTGCGGCGACCTCACCGCACTCTCGGCACAGCTCGGCGCGACACCCACACCCCCCCCCATACAGTCCAGGGGCCGTTCGGACGGGGAGAAACCCGTTCACAGTTCGCGGCTACAATGCAATACAATATACGCTCCATTCCACGTATATATGTATAGAACACATATATTCTATGTTAAGCTATAATTTATGGCTCCATATTATACTCCACGATGCTGCGTGACGCGATGCGACGTGACAGCCCCGGGCCCGAGGCACGGCACGGCTCCCCCGGTGTCCCCGAGCCGCGGGGCCGCCCCGCCCCGAGGCGTCGGCGAAGGGCGCCCGCCTCGTTGCGCTGGGCTCGAGGACGGGTTTGGGGGAATCCGCTCCTGCTTCTCAGCCTCTTATCCCCTCCTTTCTTTTCCCCCTGTCCCAAATCTTGCTCCCTTCCCCAGTGAAGGTGTGTTCGCTCCCTCCGTCCTTTATCTCTGTTTTAGCCGCGAAAGGTGTGGGAGTGTGTTTATTCCTCCTACTTCACCCGAAATTGTCTTGGAAAAAAAAAAATCAGCCGAAACCCCAAATGTGTCCGATGCCCTCGGACCCGCCCTGCCCCAGTTTATCCCAGCACTACCCAGCTGCAGGTGCTGGGAGGGGGTTTATTTGCGGGGTCACACAGCCCCCTCCCGGTCACCCTATGGCCTCCTCAATCCCATGTATCACACCTGTGCAGAGCGAGGTGTGACCAAGCTGGAATGCTGCTGCTGACCCCCGGAGCGGGCTTTGCTCTGAAGCCCCGTCCCGGAGGGCAGCAGACCCGGGGATGTCGGTGCTCGGGAGTCCCCGGGGCCCGCTGGGGTGCCCCCCAGCCCGCTCCCCGTGTGGGTGTTCCCCTCGCGAGGGGGGCGGAGAGAGGGCAGGCCGGGGCAGAGGCAAGTTTGGGAAGGTCCCCTCCCCTGCCTTTCGGGCTGCCCCCGCCAGCCAGTGTCCCCTTCGCACCCCAGCTGGGGGGGATCCGCACCCCCGGGGGAGGCCGGCTCGGGGCTCTGCATCAGCGTGCCCGAGGTAGGGTTGGTTTTGCTGGAGTATGCGGGAACCTCTGAAGAGAGACCCTCCCCATCTTTCCCCTAAACCTGCTGTGTCATCACGCCCCGCAGCAGAGGCAGCCCCCCAAAAGCAAATGGGGATGTGTGTTGCCTTACCTGAGCGCTGGCCCGGGGGAGCCCCGCAGAGCGGGGGGTTCTGGATCCGGCTCGTTTTCTCCTGCCGTGTCCCGCAGCAGAAACTTCCTCCGGCCGGGGCCGGGGTCGGTGCGGGGTAGCCGGGCTGCGCCGGGGGGACCCCGCGGCCGGGGAGAGCCGCACACCCCGGGCCGTGTTTATATGTAGAAAGAGGGATAATTTGAGTGCTTATACCAAGAACTGGGGTTGTTAAGTTTGCAGGCAGACAGCTAAACGGTGCCAAGTGCGGGTAGGGAGGGGGGCGCTGGGGGGAGGCTGGGGGTGTGTAAGAAATAAAGAGCAATTGTCAGAGGCGAACAAAAGGCGGAGGATGGAAAGGAGCTGGGAATCCCGGGGCAGAGCCCCTCGGCGTGGACTTGAACTTGGGCTTTGACACCGTCTGCCAGGCAGAGAGCGGCTCTGGGCCGGGCGAGGCGGGCTGCGGGGTGAGTGACAACAGCCCCGGCGGCGCAGTGAGCGGGCATTACCCCCCCAAACACCCACCTTTGCCGGGGGGGGCACTGCTTCAGGATACGAGTAATCCGGGGAATAACCCAGACGGGCTGAGACCCGACAGGCTCAGCGCAGCTCCCGGTGCGGAGGGGGGCGGCGGCGGGGGGACCCCGTCGGGGCTGGCCGGGGCCAGACGGTCGGGGGGGCCGCCCGGTTCTCACAGTCTGCGCCCGAGCCTGGATTCTCTGCACGTCCCGGCCGGTCCCCCCTTTGCTACTATTCAGCACTTAATTGAACATTAATGGCAGCTGGGGATGAGGTCATTGGAGCCGGCTTTTCTCACACATTTTTCATGCAAATCCGCTAAACTCTAAACAAATTTGAATAAAACCCCCTTTGTGCGGGCCCTCCATGGTGTTTTTCCACGGGCCGCTCCGCCTGTCTCCGCACACTTCATCCGGGGAGGGGGGAGAGCCGGGGAGACGAGGGAGCGTGGGGGGGTCCCTGCTCGGGCCTGGAGCGCTAGGCAGACCCAAAGAGGCAGTGTCCTCTGCGAGGCTCCCAAACCCAGATCACCCCCAGAATGCACACTGCACTAGCAGGGCCCCATATTGTGCCATCATCTCCATTTGCAGCCCCCCCCAGCACCAGTTCTCCCAGTCATACTCCTTAGCAACACCAGATACCTCTGTACCACCTCGATAACACCAGTCCATCCCCAGTAGCACCAGTCCTGCAACTCACACCAACCCTCCCCAGCAATACCAGCTCCCTAAGTACCAGCAACCCCCCAGCAACCCCAAATTCCCCAGTACCACCAGTGCCCCCAGCACCCCTCGCTGCACTGGGCCATCACATCCCTTTGCCTCTGTGTGAAGTGGTTTTTGGGTGCTCGTGGCTGCACAGGATAACGGCACGCAGAGCCCCTGACCCCCCTGCTCCACGGCCCCCGCGCAGCCCCCATTAGCATCCCCGCGCGCCCGGCCCCCTGCCCAGCCTTGAACTTGGCCATGCCGGGCTGCGCTCCTTCTGCCTGCCTGGGCTTGCACAATGCCGGCCTTGACCCATTGTTTGCTTTTTTCGGATTTCAGCTGGGAAAGCGGCCACCTCGCGCAGCCTGCCCCGAGCACGCCGGGAGCGGGGCACAATGGGGAACCCTGCTCTGCAGGCAGAAGGGCTCCAAATCATTTGAGAGACATATTCATTATATTCTTTCACGGGGGTCTGTTTGCATTGGGTTTAGCGGTTACTTCCCAGACGGGGTTCAGACCAAATAAAGATCATTGAGCAGCGAGGGATTCGCTCAGGCTTTCAGGGAAATGTGCCTGATGCGGGGCACGGCGCAGCCCGGCCGCTTGGCTCCTGGCTGCTCCCACTTCCCTGTTGATTTGCCTGGGTTTATTTTGTGCCCATTGCCTCCTCCATCTTGAGATTGCACCAAATCACACGGCTCACTTTTTGCAAAAGGGAGAGTTTATTTTCAACAGTGCTTGGGGGGGTGGGATTTGAATGGGAGATAATTACAGGCAGTACGTTTCTCTTACAGGAACAGAGAGGGTGCAGCACAACAGCAGCAGGGCTGTCTGGCCTGGACAGGCTCACGGTCCTCTGGGCCACAAGCACAGCACCTTTGGGAAGGCTGTGCTCCCACAGCTCCACAGACCCAGGGATCAAGAGCAGCAAGGGCCAAGCTCTGCTCCATAAGCAAAGCTGGGAGCGAAAAGCTCCTTCCAACCTTCGCACACCCGATATTTCACCAGTTGTTACAGTGACTGGCTTGGGTCTCTCTGTCTAAGCGCTTTGGTCCTGCTCAGGGGTATTGAGGGCACTGAAGGCAACATACAGGAGTGATGTGGGATGATCCCTTGTGTTGCCCTGGCTCCCTCCCCATGGGTGGACCGGCGTGATTCGAAGTGATGCAGAAACCCGCTGTGCTCATGAATCAAAGCTGCCTCCTCTCTGGGGCCAATGCAGAAGCAGTTGGGACCCTCCTGGAGAAACTCGGAGAAGTCAGGTGGCAAGTCTGGGCAGGCGGTAGCCAACAACTCAAAGGAACTCACGGGCTTGAAAAATCCCTTCTCCACTTGCTGGGATCTAGGAAGGAAAGAAAAAAAAATGGAGTGGTTATGATCTCTGTCAGGGAAATGGTGCAGCAGCACTCAGTTGAGAACAGACCAACTTGTCTCACTGATGGAGCGAAACTCCAATCCTCTTTCCCTCCTCACCACACATTTCTCACAGCTCTGGACCACCTTTCCCCCTTCCCAACCGGGAAAACCACGGTCCTCAAGACACCGAGCTTACCCTGTGCCCGCCTCAACCCCTTACCTCTGCCTGCCCCGCACACCGCCAGCCAGGGGAGGGCTCACCGCTTGTCCTTCCTCCCTAGGCTTTGGGGCATGGGATTACTCTGCATGTCAGAGCCACTAAAGGCACAGCCCTCTGATGTTTTAATCTTCGTGTTAACTTTCCCTGCCCTCAGCGCCCTTGCCTGGCTGGAGAAAGTGATACCAAGACACCGAGCTGGAGCCGAAGCTGTGACACTCAGCAGAAGTCCCCTTCTCAGCTTTCCTTGTACCTCCCGTGCTTTGCCCCACACACCTTGCACCTTGCAGCACGTTCTCCTCCCTTTTTCCTGATTTTTTTCTCTATTTCCTTTACACTTTATCCATGTCGAGAGTATATTCCCTAGCCCCTAAACTAGTCACATGCCTTTGCTGTCTTCCCTTTGCTTTGCCTATAAACTGTTATGTTGGAAGGGGTAAAGAGTAATATAACTAATCCTTGAGTACACTTGGATCCAGAGTGCAAAAGGAACCATCAGCTGGCTAATTTATTCTTTCTATTGCACCAAATTGTAATTTTATAAAATATTGCAAATTTTATAAAATATTTGCAAGCCCATTTTAAGAGATAAATCTTCTGTGTGGCTCTCTAATGAGCCGCCCTGGGAGTAGCCAGCATGTGATCTGCTGTAGGTCGCACCACGACATTCCCGGGCTGTGACTGGTTGAACCACCGTAACTCTTTGAACTGTGCAAATACTCTACACTCTGGGGTCCAGGCTGCAATTTTCATGGGTATTTTTTCTCTCTCTTAAAAATAGATCTTCTGTAACCCCTTTATTGCAATATTCATAAAGCACTTGATGGAAATCCAAGGAAAATCCCTTCCTTTTCACAACTTTGAAGCAATCCTAAAACTTAAGAGAGCGAGAGGCCAAAGCCACCCCATGTGCATGTGTTTGGGGAAGGACCAAAGACTGTCTCTGCAGAAATAGGGTGCTGAGAGGATGGAGCCCATGCTGGCATGTGTGTAGGGAGACCCAGGCTGCAGGAAGCCAAGGCTCAGCACTTCTTTGTCCTATGTGAGATCAGGAGTCATCCCCAATGTCCCCCCAAGGCTGGTAAGGATGCTGAGGTCAGGGCAGACGAGATCCGAATGGTGGTGGGTGCTTCTGCAAGCCCAGGAGAGGAGGAGGAGGAGGCTGAACCCTTGTGCTCACCAGCGAAAAGCCTTTACCTGGCAGGTAAAGCCCTCTGCCTTCTGCAGGCACAGGGTGAGCTTGCTGTGGCCTACAGAGAAGCTCCTCTATGGTGCAGATAGAGAACCTGCTCCTTGGTACCAGACATCAACCTGCCCTGGAAATTACCCTCTGCCTGGCCTGGTGCATTTGCAGCTTCAGTTTGCAGCAGTTGCAGGCACTCAGTAACTGAGGGAAGGAGGGGATGGTCTGACCCAACTTATTTGACATAAGCTTTAGGAAAGCCTAAATCTCCTGCATGCACTTTCTCTACAGTCAGAGTTCAGCCTAGCACTGTGGGTGTCTGCAAAGATAGGACTCCATCAGGACCCTATCCCAGCCCAAGGTTGCCTTCCCTCTCCAATGCCCTGTGCAGGGAAAACATCCCACAAACTAGCATGTGGAATTATTATCACTGTTTTTAAAAAAAACAATGCATAAATACTTGAAATTACAGCTCAGCCTCTGCTCCAAGACTTGCTCCTATGCCTCCTTGTGTCCCTACAAAGCCAGCACTGAGGTTTATAAGCTGACAAACTGCCCCGCCACAGCAATTCTGGGCGGTGGGAAGGGGAAAAAAAACCAACCCTCAAATAATGGTAAATGGATGCAGAACACTCCGCCTAATCAGATTCCTATCCCCTATTGAGGCCAGGAAGGAGGGACCCCGCTCCTCCCCTGCCCTCAGCCCAGCCTCCGCTTCACCGGCTCACACGGAGAAACTTTCTGGACAATTTAATCTCGCCAGGGTGTTACTTAGAAAAACCTTTTTCACTGTCAATTTTTTTCCCCCTTCCCTTCCACCCCTCCCCCCTTTTTTTTTTCTTCCCTCCCAGCCTTGATTGAATTTTGCAAGCCCCTGATATCTTTCTTTTTTTGTAGGGATGCACGCTGCTTATGCAAATACCAGCCTTTCATACCAGCCTCCCTGGCTCAAGCCCTCCAACTTGAATGTGACCAAAAGCTGTGCTCTCCCCTGCTAACTCCTTAGCACAATTACACCTCCATTCTGCTCCAGGGGCCCGGGGAGGGGGAAAAAAAAATCATTTTAAACTAATAACACGTGCTGTTTACTTTGGATAATTACAAGGGAGCTTCGGCTTCTAAGAGCTATGAAATATTCTGTTCAGCGGGGGTGGGAGGGAGGCTCCGTGTTACGCCTACGCTGCGAGTTTTATCTCCTGGCGGAGATGCTCGCACGGCCTCTCGAGGCTCCCTCCATCTCGTGCTCATCCTCTGCACCTGGGCAAGCATTTACATTTCCTACGGAGGAACTTCCCGGCGCTTTGGGCTACAGGAGAGAGGAGAAGGCGGCTGACATTTTCCTTATCTCAAGTTACAATTTCCTGCAAGCATCAAGATAATAAAACATCGGCGATGGGCAAGATGAGTGAAATGAATGCGTCGGCTCTCCCGCGGCAGCGCAGGAAGGACCAGGGAGAAAGGACACCCGGGGGACGTGGCTGCTCCGCTGGTTCTCGTTTGCATCGTGGCCCTGACGTTATTGTCCTCCTGCCTTGTCTGCTGGGGAAGTTTATGTGGAGGGCTTTTGCTGGGGCGAGGAGGAGGAGGGGAGTTTTCCCCAAAAGCACCCAGGAATCTGTCAAAAGAGGGACAGAAAAGAGAAGAAGAAGAAGAAGGGAGACAGAGAGTGGGAACGTCAAGGACCCCTGACTAATGAATAGCAAGTTTGCCCTTGAACCTCCCTGGGCTTTGCCATTCCCAGGCTCCAAACAAGGGCTGATGCATGCTTGGGCCCAGCTGCAGGGGGACTGGGCTATGGTTCATCTCAGACACTTTGACAGCCCGGGCCTTTTCCCCACATAGCTCAGACTCGCCTAACTACTCCCCTGGCAACAGCTCAGTGCAGGAACCTGCGCTGAGGCCCTGCCTGCTGCATACAGAAGTACGAGGAGGAGGAGGGGAGCCGCTGGGAGAAATTAGCTTGAGACCAGCTTAACCCATCAAATGCTGGGCAGGCATCACCAGCCCCAGTACCCTTTGCTCAGCCCCAGTACCCTCCACTCATCCCTGGGTGCTCACTGGCAATTATCCATGGTGGAGCTGGAGAGGGGCAGTGGTGGGTTAGATGTGCAGAGTCGCTGTGTATCACAAATCCCATGACCCGCTGCTTCACCATGACCCAGCCTGCTGAGACCTGGTGAGACCAAAGGTCCTCATGGTGCCAGGGATGTAGGAGGGAGCCAAAATAGCCAGCTGGAAAAGACCACCGGACACTGAGAGGAAAGGGCATGGCCTCTCCCTGGTGTGGCAGGACAGGGCATCTCTCCCTGCCAGCCAAAATGAGTGCAGGGGCTGGATGAGAGGCACAAACTTGCCCCAGCCACTCTTTCTGCATTGCAGATCAAAGGCTGGGGACAAGCTGGCCTTTAGGGTCTGCACTGAATGGCCGGAGAGAACAGGCACGAGCACCCGGTGGCTCTAAAATGCGACTCAGAAACGTTCCCACATCCCAGCCCCATATAAATCAAGGGGGAAAAAAGGGGGAGCTCTGTCCCAGCCTCTATTTTTACAGAGCATCTTTCATGTGCAGCCCCTGAGAGAGAGGGCTTTGCCGAGCTTGTTAAGGATGGCTCCAGCGCCAGGCAGAGAGGGGGACGCACCATATGGAGAGGAGAAAAAGAAAAGGGGACACTGAAAATGGAAAATTATGCAAAGCAGGAGGAGAGGCGCTGGGGGAAAGGGGGGAGGGAGGCAGCGAGGAGGTGGGGGATGGGGAGAGGGGAGGATGGAAGGGAGCCCTGACTTGGGGGACACCATAAGCTGGCATGGGGGCAGCAGGAGGGACAGAAGTTTCCCGTGATCAGGTCAGGACAGCCGTTGGCACCCTTAGGTGCTGTCACCGGAGGGCAGTTTTCCAGCCTGGCCTTTCCTGAGCAGATTTGGCACACCCTGTGCCAGGGCGATGCCTGGCTGGACTGTGGTGGGTGCACCCTGCTTCTGGAGCCATGCCATGCTGGGAGATGCAGCAAAACGGGGTCCATGGTGACCTACTTCAGAGGTGTCCTCAGGACCTCTGTTACTATGGCAATGAGGTTGCAAGCAAACATGTTTTTTGGTCAAGATTTTTGCTTTTCATCAATCACAAAAACTGGATTAGCACACCGAGGTGCCAGGGCATTGTAAGAAACAGCCCTGACCAACAGCAATGATAGCAAGGACCCAAATAGGCCCTGGATCTCAGACACCAGTGCAGTGATAGTGGATGCTTGGGTGAGTCTAAGGAGAATCCGAATGCAGTTACCAGAGCTCTTCCCTTCCCCTTGGACCCCACAGAGTCCTGGTGCCACAGGGTGAGCTGCAGGCCCAGTATGGCTTAAAGATGATGTGCAGGCATTCCAGTCCCTTGCATGTGTTATTGCCCAGCTTGTGCTCAAACATGGTGTTTGGAGAAATGACTCAGCTCTTCCCAATCCAGTTGTGGAGCTCCTTTTCTCTTCCTGGAAACCTTGTTCACCTTTCAGAAACCGCCCACCCTGTCACTGTGACAGCTTCTTTATCCCAAAGCCACCCTGTGCCTCAAGCTTGCAGAACTCTGCTGGCTCCCTGT